GGTATCCATACTTTGATCTGTGGTGGGATCCCTGTCTGGGGTGAGTAGATGTATGTGTTGTGTCTCCCCAAGGAAAGTTTTGTCACATAACAACACCAATGGACATGCCAAACTGGATGGGGAAAGCACACGAGGCCCCCAGCCTCACACAAAGAACAACAGATGGCTGAGTAAAGCAGGGAGCAGAAGAGGTGGTCTTCCCAGGGAAGAGCACACCACTTACTTTAATGTCCAATGAGAAGTGGTCATCCCAGGAAACATACTTACAAGTGAAATGCATGTTTTTTTAGGCCTTTACCTATGATCATAACAAAGGATCCATAAATTTATGGGGCCCTGTACATATCACCACTACTGTAAGAAAGAAAGCTTTGACTCTTGGAAGCTTTCCCACACAGGCCTCAGTTGCTGGGGACCACAGAGATCTGCTGTCCCCCTTCTTCTTCCCACCCTTTTCTTCACTGATGATCGCTGAATCATTGGAGAAGGGGGAAGTTCATATGGAGTAGAGGCTGTGATCCCCCTCAGTTCATTATTATTGTCCTAGTTACTGTTCTATTGATGTGAAGAGACACAATAACCAAGGCAATTATCAAGGAAGGTTCTTAATTGGTGATTGCTTATAGTTTCAGAGAGTTAGTCCATGATCATCACGGCAGGAAGCAGACAGGCATAGCATAGCATAGCAGGAGCAGTAGCTGAAAGCTTTATATCTCATCTGCAGGTAGCAGGCAGAGAGAGAGACACTGAGCCTGGCATGGGCTTTTGAAACCTCAAAGCCCACCTCTACTTCCTCCCACAAGGACATACTTCTTAATCCTTCCCAAACAGTTTCACTAACTGGGTAATAAGCATTCAAATATCTGAGTCTATGGAGGCTATTCTCATTCAAACCACCACACATATAATTAGAGCAAAAATAAAGGTTCATTCTTTTACATCTAAAAGTGAAAACTGGAGTGTCAAATTCTGCTTCATATTTTCAATAAGTAATCTTAGGTATATCCTGTTTCTTACCAAATGCTGTCTCTCAACACTTATGTGAATTGTAGTTCATGGACAACTAATTGTCTCAGTGATAATAATAGTATTTAAAAAAAAAATGTCGTTTGGACAGCTGAAAAACTTGTGAAGCATTACATGCTGTATTATTGTTTTGGCAATGGAAAAATCACTATATCAAACTAAAATCTCTGAAGCAATCAATGTTTTTTCTAAGTATTGTGTATGTATATGCACAAAAATATATCCCAGTATTTTATTTTTTATTTAAATTAATAACAAGCCTGCTTCACATGTCAATCCCAGCTCCCTCTCCCTCCCCTCCTGCCCTGCTCCCCACTGACCCCCCCATCCCCCTCCACTCCCCAGGGAGGTTTAGGCCCTCCATGGGGGATCTCCAAAGTCTGCAATATCATCCCAGGCAGGGCCTAGGCCCTCCCCCATGTGTCCAGGCTGAGAGAGCATCCCTCCATGAGGAATGGGCTCCCAAAGTCCATTCGTGCACCAGGGATAAATACTGATCTACTACCCAAGGCCCCATAGATTGCTGAGGCCTCCTCACTGACACCCATGTTCAGAGGGTATATCCCAGTATTTTTAAATTATGATGTGTCCTTAGTTGATTATGACAGTTTTTCACCCAATAGCCAATAATTCTTACGGAACTGGTATTCTATGTAAATACATGAAACAGTACTTGAATATTTTAGAGATACTTAACATTCCCTAAATTAGCATTATTAAAATGTGCATTTTAACTAAAGAGTTGACATAGAACTAATAATCAACATTACTAGAAGTTAATGTCCACATTTTTATTGGTTAGTGTTCAGCACTTCCTAAGAAATAATGCAGACATCACATATAAGCCGGTAACATCATACACAGTTTTTATCCTCCTCCTTAAGTCATTTAACATCCTCATTACTGCCCAGCCCAGCTCATTCTACTTCTTCATCTACAATGCATGAAAAGTATTAAATGATTCTTAATATATTCATACTCACTGAATAATTCATAAAGTAAAAAAGCATCTTTTACCCCATAATAATTTCAACACTTAAAAAAGAATAATACTCAGTATTGTGACAACGTCAAGATGACTCAAAAGTGTTACAACGTTTATGGTGGACTAGTTTGACATGAAAGAACTATTGAGGCAACTCATCTGAACCTCAAAGGGCAGGAAATATTTTAAATTGTCCTTTGCTCTGGCTTCTCCTGGTCCTCAGTCTATGGCTTTCAATACCAATAACTCTTGCTTTTCCTGACACTAGTCAAGTATTTGTCTTCCTCACTATACTTGGCTGCTATACAAATGGAATTATGTATATACTTCCAGTGTCGCCTAGGAAGCCCCACTGAAGAAATATCTCAGCCACCACATCCAATGACCCCACTTAGCTCTAGGAAGCCATAGAAAATTGATGCCCCAATTCCCTGGATAGCAGTTTGGGTTATCACTTGTTGGGGGGAGGCTGGGCATGAGAACAGGAGGTATAAAATGTTTAACCTTACTTGGGAAAGAGATGCCCAAAAATCAGCAGTTCCAGAAATGTTCTTGTTTCTCTGGCCAGGAACAACAGAGCTCAGGTTTCTCACCTCTTCTTAAATGAGCACTCCCAACCCCTGCCTTCAGCCTAAATTTAGGGGTGAGGACAAAAACTGCCATCCAAACATAGATCCCTTCTAGTGAACAGTTTTGAGACAGAATCTCTACTTTTTTTTTTTTCTGGTGAAAATGGGTTGTATTCAGTCCCTAGTTCCAGCATATTGCCCTACTGAGTTTAGAGTTACTGCTTGAGAGGGGAAATGGGGCAGTAAAGAATGAGATCTATCTCTAGGTGGAGACTTGTGGTTGTCCCTCCCTTGAGAGTTAATCCAACATGGCAGGTCAATAGCCTGGCTAAGGGATCCCCCTCCCACACACACACCCAGGAAGGTGGATCCACATGAATTCATGCTAAAGAGATAGAAGAAATAACTATTTCTTTAATAGGACAATCTACTTTTCCTTCCAGAGTCCCTGTCTGCTGTATAAGGTTCTGTTGGGTCTATCTACCTCTCTAAGTGAAGAAAGGCATAATTTTCCCTTCTTTTCTTTCTCTGCTGGATGCTCGCCAGAGCTTAAACATGCTTTTTCTGGTATTTTGGGCTTCTTCTCTCTTTCTCTAAAACTCCTCTCCCTATCTATGTAGCTACTGTCCACCATGTAGCTGACCTCCTTGGCAGCTTAACTGGACAGCATGGATTTTTTTCTCTTCCCCACCTTCCTCATCCAGACAGCTACCAGGATTATATGTAGTCTGCACTAGCATTTTTCTTTTAAACTAATAAAGTTGTTCCTGAGCTTCAAGACAAGTAATAAAACTATATAGATAATGTTTACAATTAGATTGTATCTCTTTGCCTGCATCTTTAGGTGAGTCACTGTAAATCTAATTACTTTTAGATGCGTAAGAATTTGCATATGACTACAGTTAAAGCACAGCAACGATCAAGTCAGTCAACATCTGGGAATAAGTAAAATGTATCAGGTACTCTTTGTGCATGTTCAATAATAAGTAAACAGAAAAAATCCCATCCTTGTGTTTCAAATCCCACCCTCATGTTTCCACTGCCCATCACCCACACACTCTTGTAATTAAGTTTTAATAAATGTTAACCAATGTAACATATGATATATCTTTTAAATAGTTTATAGCAATCTGTACTATATATATATATATATATGTGTGTGTGTGTGTGTGTGTGTGTGTGTGTGTGTGTGTGTGTGTGTGTGAGAATATATTCAACCATTTGTTGTGTTGTTGGGTCTTTTTGCAACCATTCTTTATAGATTGACAGTCCATTTAGATTTTGTTTTGGTTTTTGCAACCATAGTTACAATAAACACCAATACAGAAGGATCGTGTATGTATCATGTATCACATATATAGCTTATTATTTCTAAGGAAAAAGTCTAGCCTGGATGAGTACAAAGTTACAAACAAGCTGTCTCCCAATTGGATGCAGTAGCTGGATCCTACATTCCCCAGGTATGCGGAGGAGGCTATGGTACTATCCACCTGTGTGGTGCTGAACAAGGAACTCGTTTCTCCTTCCGAATCCAGTTCCATACACCTGGTCTCCCTTTGCTGCTGGGAACTTTCAGCAGTCAATCAATGTCTGTGAGAAGGTCTTTCAGAATAACATCTAACTTGCAGTGTTATATCAAGTGCTCTGCGGTAGTCCTTTTGGCTCATCCTTCCTTTTGGACACTGTCACGACCTACACCTTAAGTGCCACACTAACTTACCTTTTACAGAGTTGATTAGCTCTCCCTTACCGATTTGTGTAAATATATGTGATTGATTAAAATGTCATTTTTGAGACAAGATATATATAGTGAAAATGAACATATAGGACTCTCCCCCACCCCTTTCTGCCTAACCCGCATCTGTCTTTCTACCCGCAGCTGACCTAGTGTAGCTTCCACTCCACATGGGAAGGAACTCTTCCTTCCCGGGGTCATTTGCCCTAAGCACTCATTTCCTGAAATTTAAATCACTAGCTAGCCGTTTCCTACCCCGTTTCCTGTCATTTGCCTCTATTTCCCCTCTCAGCCTCTTCACACCAAACCGCAGCTCAAACCCTCTAGAAAGCTAATCCACATCCCTTGGTGCCTAGACTCTGGGGTCTCCGCTCCTTGGTGTAACCATTAATCTTTGCCCAGTGCCTCCCGCCCCATCCTCCAAGCATCCGGTGCTGTTCTAGGAGGAGCCTAAACGTCAGTCCTGCTGAAGGGGATTGTGGTGCGTAAACAGGATTAACTCTCTAGCCCCCAGCTGTGCTGATTTGCGGGGCAGCCTGCCAGTCCAGTCACCGCGATCCCTCGCGTGCGTGCAGGGCCCAGCGAGTGGAGCGGGGGATGGGGCGGCCAGCTGCCTCGGTGCTGTCTCTGGGGCTGGCTCCGTGGCTGAGTGCGGTAGAGAGCCACAGCCCCACCAGCTGCTACTCAAAATCTGTGGTGGACGGAGGCAACCGCTGCTAGCTGTGGCCTGCATCCATCTGCTCCCTCTTCCTCCCTGCGTGTCCCCTCCGCCCATCGCGCTACAACAGCTCCTTCCAGCCCGCCCTGTCCATCACCACGGCCAAGGTTGCCAGCTATGGGGGACCTTCCCGGGCTCGTGCGCCTTTCCATCGCGCTGCGCATCCAGCCCAATGACGGCCCTGTTTTCTTCAAGGTAGACGGCCAGCGCTTCGGCCAGAACCGCACAATCAAGCTGCTCACCGGCTCCTCCTATAAGGTGGAGGTGAAGATTAAGCCTACAACACTGCAGGTCGAGTGAGTGTGGGGAGCGCCGGGTGGCAGGGCGTTAATACCCCAGTATGGGAGGAGCAAAGAGGCCCCGGGACATCTCTAGCCTCCGCTTCGTTCCCCTAGTCTCTCCCTTGCTCAGCGGATCTGGGGTGAGGGCAGGAGGTGAACGCCCTGTCCCCCCAGCTACTTTCCTGCCTTGAGCTTGTAGTCCTGCATTCCAGCTTCCTTCCACCCGCCTCAGCGAATGCCTTTAAATCTTTGACAAGAAGCCGGGGTCTGGGCTTTTGTTGTGTTTGGGGGTTTGCTTTGTTTTGATTTCTTGTGGATTTCTCTTCTGCCTAGCTACAGTGGGAAAACCACAAGTAGATAGGGTGGGGCAGATGATAGAAGACATGGAGGGGTTCAGCAACCGCAATCCCATCCCTGCTTTCCTGGGTCCTAGGATCACTCCTGCTTTTGCTGAGGAAACTGGGGGTGGAGGGAGGCTGAGGAGTGAGGAACCTCAGGGGACAGATGGTCATTGGATTCCCTGAGAGATGCTTTCTACTACTCCTTTTTAGAGGGCGCCGCCTGTGCTGGGGCCTCCCTTTATGGTTTTCCATGTACTGTGCCTTTTCTTTCCTTCCTGGCTGAATTTTTAAGTCAGCCTGGTGAGGTTACCTGTGATGGTTAACAAGAAGGGTGTGAAACAGTGCAGTGAGGTATGGGAAATAATTCATATATGGGTCTTAGTTTCGTTTCCTGTTGCTGTGATTCAATTCCCTGGCGAAATCAACTTAGGAAAGAAAGGTTTTGTTTGGATCACAATTCGAGGTTACAGTCCATTTTGTGGAAAAGTCAAGGCGGCTGGAACTTGAAGAAGCTAGTCATAATTACATCCATCGTCAAAAACAGAGCAGTGACTTGATGCATGCATGCCAGTGCTCAGCTGCTCCCTCCTTTTCCTTGGGTCCAGAGCCCAGCCCATGAGATGATACCCTCCACTTTTAGGGTGAGTCTTCCCACCACGATTAAACTAAATAAGAAAATCCCACACAGACATGGCCACAGACCAAGCCATGGAGACAGTTCCTCATTGAGAACTTCCCAGATGGTTCCAGATTGTGTCAAGGTGACAACTGAAACTAGCCATCACAGGGTCCTTTATCACCTTTCACCTAAACATGGTGTGAAGTCTAGTTTGTAAGAAAGAACAAAACAAAACTTCTGTACCTGACTTATGCTTAGGGAGGAAGGGGTTTGTATCCATCACATACCTTTAGGTAGTTTGAACTCAGTAAACTTGTCTTATTTAACCTTCTGGACACAAAGATCTGTAGCCACACTTGAATGGTTTCTGGTATTCCCAGTCCATTTATTAGCGTCCCCCAAATCTCCACCTCACCCTGTACCCAATGTCCTCACACTGCCTAGTTGTCTCTGCACTTGCAGCCAGACTTTTCCTTTCTCATCTACCCTGACAACATTTGCCCTTATAAATGTTATTTTCCCTTCCTCTGGGAGTAGTTCTCTAGATTTTGAGTTAATCTAAAAGCAAATTTGGTGATGCTAAACTCTATAACATTTAAGTTTTATTAAGGATTTCTTCAGTGCCCTAATCCAATGACTCCCAAATTGAAGGCTTGTTGAGCCAGTCAATTTGGGCTCACCAGAGTTTCTAGTTTGGTATTTCCATGCTGAAGCCTAAATGTTTATATGTTGATAGGTCATCAGTTAATACTCAGACTTTACATTGAGAACAGTTATTCTGATATAAAGGATACCAAAGATGGTACCACTGAGAATTTCTAGAATGAGATAAACCTGAAGGAAAATCTTTGATTGTTGGACAAACAATAAAATTCATTACAGAATTATGTCAGAGAGACCAATGGAATCCTGATCTCTAGAGTTTGGAGTCGGGCTGAACATAGGTGGAATTTTAATTCCATAGATGCTTTCAATGAGAAAAGAGCTCTTGTACATGAGAATACTGAAGTCAGTCCAGAGAGTAGAAGTAGTTGGTCTATGATCATAATACTGCTTAGTTGGACCACTGTAACATTCTGAGCTTTCAGAAGTTTCTACCATGCCTTCCTTAGCCAAACGCTGTGAGTTTCCTCTCTAGGATTTTGGTTCAGACTAGAACAGGAAACCTAATCTAATTCCTACCATCTATACTCAACTCAAGTCCATTGCAGGAACATTTCCATTGGTGGCGTGCTTGTCCCACTGGAGTTGAAGTGTAAAGAGCCTGATGGGGAAAGAGTTGTCTACACAGGCATATATGATACAGAAGGTGTAGCTCCTACCAAAAGTGGAGAGCGACAACCCATCCAGATCACCATGCCGGTAAGTCCAAGTTGGGGATGTGGGATATGGTTTCAGAACAAATAGAAACTACAGGAGAAAAATCACTACGTCTTTAAGAGTAAGAAAATGCTCTGAAGCCAGTTACTATGGAAATTGGTTTCCATTTCCCTCATGGACCTATGGAGAAAGAGTAATGTAATTGATGCTCTTTTGCATGACAGCCTGAATTTTCAGACATTAAAGATGCCAGGTAAATGGTTCAGGGAGAGATAGTAGTAGCTATGTCGCCATTTTCTCTCTTGTGTTCTACACAAGGACTTTTAAAAGATTGTGATTCTATATAGCTAAGTCCTTTGGGTGTGAAAAAACTCTCTAAATAAATGACATTTTGCTACTTAAATGCACCCTAAGTAAAGTGACTGCTATGGTAAACAATAACTCCTACCATATCCAGTGCAGTGATCCCTCTGTATCCATGGGAGATTCATTCCATTCACAGATGCCACCATAGATGAGCATCCCTTATATATAATGGCTCAGTATTTGCAGATAACCCATGCATGCCATCACACACACTTTACATCATCCTTAGAGTGTGACTGTTATGTAAATAGTTCTCGTGTTGTATTCTTTAGGGAATGATGAAAAAAAAGTCAATGCTTGTTCAATACATACACAGTTTCCCTCTGAGTGTTTTCAATTCAAGGTTGAGTAATCCATGGACATAGAGTCTATTAACAAAGAATGCATGTGTATATTGTAAGAAAATGTTTATCACCAAGAAATATTGACATCAAATAAATAAAAGGATAGAGTTTACTAGTAGACTCAGTTAATTGTATGTGCACACACAATAGATGATGCAATAAGCTTGCTAAAATATAAGAAAGGGGCAGATTACCTAGTGAACTACTATAAAAACTGGTTGGTCTTTCCCCTCACAAAGGGCAGCTTTTCAATGTGTGTCCTCTGCCTTTAAGGAGATCACAGCAGTTCCCAAATGTCCATATAAGTAAAACTTTCCTCTGAAGGTTACTTAAAACATCAGTCCCAGTTGCCATATCCAGTGTTTGGGGGTTTTATTTTGTTTTTTATTTAATTTAATGGTGGGTAAGTTAAGACCAAAGAAACTGACACACCTACTGAGAATCAACCCTGATGATGCTGGCCTGTGGAATCCCCTTCCAGAGACACTTCTCTAATATCTTATCCATCCTATCTGATAAATCCTTAAGCTGCAGTGGCAACATAAGGAAAGAATCTTGTTTGTTTTTTGTTTTTTGAGACAGAGTGTCTGTGAGTAGCCATGGCTGCCCTGGAACTCATTCTGTAGAACAGGTTGGCTTTGAACTCACAGATTCACCTGCCTCTGTCTCTCTGAGTGTTGGGATTAAAGGTGTACACCACCACCACTCAGCATGGGAGCCCATTCTTTTGAGAGATATATTTGAACTTCTTTTAAAAGGAATTCTATTTTCCACCAGAGGTTCAACAGAGGAAAATATAAAACTGTGGAAAATGCTAATTTTTCTCAGAGACAACTGCTGTCAATATTTTAGTCCGTGTTCCTTGAAAGCTGCTTCTCCTACATCTTCACATAAGTGAATAGGTTTTTTTTTCTTATGTACATATAAATCCAAAGATGTACATACGGAATGTAATTTTGAAGTCCATTATGTGAGTGTATCAGTATGTCCACTTACCTACTGGCGATTTCCATTTCTCACTACTATAAAGAAAACTATTTTAAGTTTTACTCACTTCTACTAAGTTATTGTTTACTTGGGGTAAATTTCCAGAAGAAATGTGCATGCTAGGGCATTTTTATAAATATTGACCTCTAGGAATGCAAGAAGAGTTTGGGTAGATGGCTCAGTAGCTTGCCACCAGACACACACACACACACACACACACACACACACACACACACACACACGCGCGCGCGCGCATTTAAAAATAAATAATATATTTTAAATGTTCATACTGTTGTAACTTTTTCTTTCTAACAGAAGTGTTTGTGAATCCTGGTTTCTTTAGATCCTCAGTAGATATACATCTTTAAATTGGAAATAAAAGAGACCTAGAATATCCAACAAAAGTTTGTTTTGGGATTTATACTAATTTTTTACTTTAGAACTCCAATATTACATTTAAAACTTTGAGTTGTTCTTCTGGGCCTTTATATTTTTATACTTTAAAATTATCCTGTATATTTATTCAATAATTGGACTGCCATATTGTATGAAATCTATAGGCCAGCCAGATGTGATAGCATACATCTGCTAATCTTGTGTACAAGAGTTCAAGGTGAGGCTGTGAAATATATGAGACACCATGTAGAAGAGGAGGAAAAGAAGAGGAGGAAAAGGGGGGAATCTTACGATAAATCTCGCCAGCCTGGGCCCACTGCCACGTCAGCCCCAAATGAATACTCAGAGATATATTAATTATGAAACTGTTGGCCATTGACTAGGACTTCTTATTGACTAGCTCTGTCTTAATTACTAACCCATGTCTATTAATCTAAATATTTCCATGTGGTCTTATCTTACTGGAGAAATGTCTGGGACCTGTTACTCCTCTCGTCATATATGGTGACTACTCTCTGCCTATGCCTCCCAGAATCCTCCTCATCTCCTAGACCTGCCTATCTTGCTACCTTATTGGGCCACAGTGTTTTATTCATCAACCAATAGGATAAACATATTTACAGAATGACGCCTCCCATCAGGGGTAGTTTATACATGTAATCTCAGCAATTGGAAAGTCACTTTCTTTAATTTATTGCTTGATTATAATAGCTAGGAACTTCAGTATGATGCTAAATGGACACGGTGAGAGTCATTATCCTTGTCTCCCTGTCTTCAGGAGAACGAGTTGAATTTTTTAACAGTATGTTAGCTACATAGTTTTTAATTTAGCTACATAGTTTTTAATATAAATTTCAGTATTAAAGAAATTCCCTTCTGCTTTAGTGAGCATTTTCATCATGATGTTATAGAATGTTTTCAAGATTTATGTGTATTCTCAGAGTTTATCGTTAGGTATCTTCTTCTTTGGTTTGTTTGTAATACAGTACATTTTTTTTCAATGTTGAAATAACCTTGAATTCCAAGATAAATAGTAACTGATTATGGTATGTTTTCTAGGAGTAGCTAGACTTTTCTTAATAGTATCTTACTAATGATTCTTCTGTCTATGTTTCTGCAAGTGATTGGTGTAGACTTTTCTTGTTATGTGTTTGTCTGGTCTCACTATCAGGATAGTTCTAGCTGAATGAAATGATTTGGAAAGCATTCACACCTTTCAGATCTCATAATATATTGGATAGAATTCACCAAAAACTTTCCATAAAAATTCAGTTTTTGTCAAGCTAATCACTTTTATAGACTTTGCCTTGGCAGTAATTAATTTTATTGTTGTTTTATTTGCTTCAATAAAACTGTTCATGCTAATTATTTTAATATTTTATTAGTCATCCATCTGTTAATGGACATCCAAGTGTGTTCCATTGCCTACCTCTGTAGTTATAAACATGGATATACAAGTATTTCTACAGTATGTTGGTTTAAAGTCCTTCAGTTATATGCCCAAAAATTCTATACCTGGGTTATATAATAGTTCTATTTTCAGTATTTACAGAAATCTTCTTACTGTTTCCTCAGTGGCTATATAAGTTTACACATCCATCAACAGTGACTAAGGGTTCCTCTTTCCCCACATCCTGTTATCATCTGTTTTCTTGATGATAGCCATTCTGACTGTGGTGAGGCAAAATATCAATGCAATTTTAACTGGCTTCCCTGGTAGATAAGGATATTGAGCAATTTGTCTAGTAATTATTTGCCATCTGAAAGTCATCTTTTGAAGACTGTCTATTCAGTTCATTAGCTCATCTTTTGATAGAAGAGGTTTTATTTGGAGTGTTTCATTTTTGCTGTTCTTTGTGTATCTGAGTATTAATACCCTTGGCTGTGCAGAAGCATCATAATCTCATAGACTACCACCTGTCAGCTCTTGGGCTCACTCTATATGCAACTGGAATCTTGTTTAGGGATTCTCTGCCTGTGTCTACACCTTGAAGTGTTTTACCTGTGTTTTACTCTATCAGTTTAGAAGTTCCTGGTCTTATAAAGTGTGATGGTTTGAATGAAAATGGCCCCCATAGGGAGTGTCACTATTAGGAGGTGTGACCTTTTTAGAGTAAGTATGGAGTCATTGGAAGAGGTGTGTCACTTGGGTGGAATATGGGCTTTCAGATGCTCAAGCCAAGCCCATTGTCTCTCTTCCTGCTACCTGCTGATTTGGATGTAGAACTCTCAGCTACCCCTCCAGAACTATGTCTACCTGTCTGCTTCCATGCTTCCTACCCTGAATTTAATGGACTAAACCTCTAAACTGTAACATAGCCCCAATTAAACGTTTTCCTATATAAGATTTGCCATGGTCATGATATCTCTTAACAGTAATAGAAACCTAAGGCACAAAGTTTCTGGGGGGGGGTTGTTGTTTTTTTTTTCTTTTATCTACTTTGAATTTATTTTTATGTACAGTGGAAAATCTGTTTCCAGTTTAATCCTTGCCCTGTGAAACATCATTTGTTCTTCCCAGCATCATTTTTAGGTTAGGATTCTGTTGCTATGATAAACACTATTAACAAAAAAAAAGTTTATTTCATTTCATTTCTGTCATGAAAAGTCAGGGAAAGTACTCTGGAGTTAGGAACTGAAGTGGAGTAACCCTGATTACTGGCTTGTTCTTCATAACTTGCTTACCCTGTTTTCTCGTACAATCCAGGAAGGACCGTCTTGTCCATGGAGTGGGGCTACCCACAATGAGATGGATCCTTGCACATAAATAATCAAGAAATTCCCCCACAGACTTTCCTACAGGGCAATCTGATGGAAGCATTTCCTCAGTTGAGATATTGTGGTGGGGGGGAGGCGTTCTGCAAACTCCACAACAAGCAGAGTATCAACCCATGAGAGGCAAGAAGGGAACAAGACTCTGGTGTTGGTTCAAGCTTCAGGAATCTGACA